CTACTTATTCTATCATAACATATAATAAATTGCATATCTTAATCATTTTTAGATATATTATTGAGTTCAAGAGTACATGAAATAGACAATGATTGGAAGCCAGAATTTCTATTGAATGAAGAATTTACACATATTATTTTAGAAGTAAATTTTGTTTCAAATTTTTTTTGTCTAAATTACATTTTGTGATTTAATTATTATTTAGGCTTTGGATGGATTCATTATAGTATTTACGTCACTAGGAAAAATTCTTCATGCTTCAGAAACTGTCACTGCTCTTCTTGGTTATCTTCCGGTATTATTTTTAATTACCTACCTTAAATCCTTATTGTTATACCTATTATGTATTTATGCTGTATAATATGTTTAAAGTTCTAATAAAATTATGTTTTTTTAGAAAACCATGGAAAATTTATCAATATTTAAAATAATTCACGAAGCAGATCATTCATTGTTACAAGATCGAATTGTAGAATCCAGACTTTCTAAGAACTATGATAATGGTAATTATTTATAAAATATATTTGTCAGTATTGTAAATATTAATTTTAAATATCGGCTTTTTATTTTGCTTTAGATCAAATTGTATTTTCTTGTCACTGTAAGAGACATGATCCGTTTAAAGATAAAGAGGAAAAAAATCAATATGAATTGGTGCAATTTTTTGGCTACTTTCAACCAAGTAGTGAAATATATCATGGTAACAATCTTAGGATTTCATCTCCATTTAACAGTGAAGAAGATGACTTAAAGTAAATCACACATTATTTGAAATATAAGTTATAATGTTCAAAAATATAAAATTTATTTTTAATGTATAGCCTAGTATTCGTTGGTATTGGCCGAATTATGACTCCACAGTTATTAAAAGAATTACCAGTAATGGAGGATATAAAAAGTGAATTCACCTCCAGACACAGTTTAGAATGGAAATTTTTATTCCTTGACCATAGGTGAAAAATGTTTTGACACAATTTCTTTCAATTATTAACTTAGTGTATTTTCATATTAATTTCAGAGGTCCATCAATTATTGGCTATATGCCATTTGAAGTATTAGGAACATCTGGTTATGAATATTATCATATTGATGACTTAGAAGATGTAATATTATCACATCAAGCTCGTAAGTAAACAACTCTAAATATTTTTAGTCAATATTATTAAATTTTTATTTTTTAGTTATGCTAAAAGGCGAAGGAACATCTTGTTATTATCGGTTTTTAACCAAAGGCCAGCAATGGATATGGTTACAATCAAGATATTATATTAGTTACCATCAATGGAACTCAAAACCTGAATTTATTGTTTGTCATCATCAAGTCATAAACTATTTTAATGTTATTAAAAAAGAAAGTGAGACTAATAATGGAAGAAAAAATAGTAATAAAAGATTATGGCATATTCCTTTAAATGAAATTGAACATCAATCATCAAATAGTGATTATGATCCATATTCAAAGAGACATTATGAACAACATAGTACAGACTCGCCAAAAATGGTTTGTTAGTTAAATAGTTATTGTATTATATTATAATATTTATATAGATTTGGTATTTAATTGAATAGTATCAACTTAATTATTTAGTAAATAGTGATAGCCAGAGTAGACTGCTTTGGGCTATAATAATCTTAAGTTATTTACTGGACTGTTCTAATTGATCAACTTACAATTTAAAATTCATAATATTTAAAATTACCTATCAAAATAATAATTACTGGTAACTATTAATATATTATTTTTAAACTTCAATAATATATTTATATATTCAATTTGCCAACACAGCAATTGCCTCAGTTAATTTTGTAATAAGATATAAATATTTTTAAATTATTCATCATTATACATGCATATTTAAATATTATAAAAAAACCAATGTTAGAAAATACATAATAATCTTGACTTTAAATTATATAATAGGTCTATTTACTCTTATACCAAAGCTAACAACAAGAAGTTTGTTATACAAATTTGCTATATTGCAAGTGATTCAAAGGAAATGGCCTCTTAAGGCATCAATTTATGTCTCAATAACTACAATTAAAACATTTTATTTTTTGAAACATCAACCTTGCCTCTTTATATACTTAAACATTTTAAAATACATTTTTAATTTAAAAAAATTTAGCTGTATGTTTTTTACCAAATAAATATATAATTAATTTTAATATATTTTTTTTTAATGTTTAGAAAATTAGATCAATTGAAGATATTCAAATTTCTAATTGTGAAGGCGAGTCATTGACATTAGCAGAAAACAAACACGACGTTTCAGAAACATTAAATAATTATTTAGAAAATGCCCAATCTTCAGTAAAATTACCTACTGGCTCAGTTTCCCCAGTAAGTATTTATTGTTAAGTATAAATATTTAATTACTTTAAATATATGTTTAATACTATATTAATACATATTTATAACACTAACAACTTAAAAGTTGTATAATTGTTTTTAAATTAAAATTTCATAACAGCTGTAATTTTTCAAACACTATTAATTTATAGAAAAATATAAATTAAAACTGATAATGCAATTTAAATTTATATTTTGTACTTCCTAATACATTAATATTAATTTAAAAATAAATAAAGTCGCAGGAAAATCTCATTCAAGATCAGTTACAACGTAAACAAGAGCAATTACAAAAAACTATAGTCAAACAACAGGAAGAATTAAAGAAAATAACTAAACAATTATTAATGGCCCGATGTGGAATTTTACCAACATTTATGGATGTATGTTATATAGGTTTATAATTCACATAAATTTAAAATTGTTCTAAAACTAAAAAACCATGTTTAGGATTCTTTACAAACATCCTCACAGACTTCTGAGCAAACAACTCAACCAGAGACCTCTGCTAATCAAATAATTTGTTCTGATGCTAGTGGAGAACTTTTTGAAACGCATCCATTAATTTCTTCTGATGTTTTATTATTGCACAAACGAGTAAAAAAATTTTACTTATTAATTATGCATTTTACTTATGTATTTTATTTTTAAAGAATGAACAAGTTATGCAAAATTCCTATTCATCAAGTATAACACAAAACATGGTCAATGAAGGAGGTGGACAATTGGATTATAGTTACAATAATCAATCTAATGATGTTCTGTTTGAACAAGGTTCTCCTTGAAAATAATAACTATTTCAAAAGTAGTTTAATTTCTCATGTATATTTCTTTATTGTTTTGTTGTTCATACATTTATCCAACGCTCAATGATTTTTTAGAATTATAGTATATAAATAATGAAGTGAGTGATAATTTTACTACAAATTACCAAATATGTATTAAAAAAAAAAAATAATTGTAAAAGGATTTTAATCATTTATCCATAAAAACTAAATAGCCATTAATCTTTTTAGTTTTTAATTATTTTTTACAATATTTGTAAACTATTTATTGAATGGAACATTGTGTTTAACTACAAGGTTAAGAAAAGAAAAAAATTGTAGAGGCCAGATTTATATTTGATGTTTCTAATTGTATATTATGAAAAATGTTGTAAATTCTGAATTATTGTGATCTCTTAATGGTTTTGACATATTAAATTAAAATAAGGACATCTAAAAATGTAATATTTTTCAATAACATTGAAAATACAATTTTTTTTATCCGTTTAGTGAAAACTTCAGGTATTTATTTTATCAACAAAAAACTAATAACTAAGTGATCCCTTATATTAATTTATACTATTAGAACTGTTTAATTGTATAAATATAAGTTTTGATCTAAATAATTATCATATTTAGAAAATTAAGAAGACTTAAACTTGCTACTAAATATTTAATTGTAAATATCATAAATTATTTGATCTAGTTTCTTCATACATATATTTTTAATTAAATGTAATTAGCTATATTTTTTGTATATATATTTATATTTAAGTTTTTCAATCATTTTAGTAGACTTAAATCGCGTTATTTGCAAAAAAATGTTCCTCTCTGTAGGTTCTGTTGTGGTTCCTTTGATCTTATACTTATAGTTATTATTACATGCACAAAGACTTAACTATTTTGACTCTTAAAGTTTTAAAAATGTGTATCTGTCAATTAAACACTGTTAGTCATAAGTGAAAATTACTTTTTTATGACTAACATTGGGTGCTATTGAATACTCATAAAGTGATAATTTTTTTTTGATTTATTATTTAGTAGTTAATTTTATAAATAATAATACATTCATTTATGTTTAACGTTTCATGAGACTTTTTAGTTTGTATTAGTAAAAATACATTATTATGATATTTAAAATACATATAAAATTTGACTTAAGCATAAAATAACTTGAGATTTTTAATTTAAAATGTATAGAATAATGTAGGATAAGTTTATTTGATTTGTGTGTAACATATTTATGTATACAATAAAAATCACTTGAAATAGCTGGATAGTTTTTTTGTTAGCCATATAAAAATGTGTGTGAATATAAGTATACAATTCTCATTGAGTTTTTTTAATAATTACTCATACAATCATTATAAAATATACTGTAATTGTTAAAACTCTAAATGCAATAAATAATTTTATAATTCAAATAACATTCATTTTTGTATTATATTAACTAATTGATCATAATTTTAAATTATCTCATGATTTGGGTCTATGCATATACATTTTTTATACATAATTACTTTTTTACAATATACTTTTTACTGAACTAATAAAAAAATTTAGTTATGTGATTTTTATTGTATATATAATATATGTAGTGATTTACAATGTGTCATTTATTATTTATTCTCGTGATACCTAATTTGTGTATTTTAGCTAGTAAATAATTTTAAATATTCTGTTTATTTCATACTCGCAATTTAATATTATTATTTTTTTTTTATATTTATGTGTTGTTTCTATTCAATTATATGTATCAATCAAAATTAGAAACAATAAATATATTCAATTTATTATAAGGAGAATGAATAATGGGTATTACCAACAATTATGTATCAACACTTGTATATAATTGAATTTATCTTTAGACAAATATAATTTTTAAAAAAATATAACATACATAGACTTATAAAAATATGAAGTAAATAAAATATAAAATCTGGATAATGTCAGTCATCCATTTTCATTAATTTTAATCTCAATTTGTCATTCAAATCACTCATTCAGTATGTGATTTTACTGTTTGATTAACTAAAACATCGGTTGTGTTTTTTGTTTCTTCTACAACGTTAGATTTATCCTTAAGTACTTTTCCACCAGTAAATCCTGTAAAATAAAATAAAAATAACTTTTGGTAATTAATTTGATGTAAAATGCTTGTATTTCAGAACTATGCTTTTATTGTATTGAGAAGTATTTCTTTTTACTTCATTTTAAGAAAATTCTTTCATATATTGTTTATTTAATATTCAGAATCAAAATTTTATTCAGAGTATTTCTGTACAAAATTTTGAGGAGAAATTTTTTATGATACCATTAATCTTATTTAAACTGAACATACTTATAAATCATATAACTCATAACTACTCATCTAAAATTTAATTTTTATTTTATATCTATATAAAACTAGAAGAATATTCAGTTTTGGAATATGGAATTAAAAATTTTTATCTAAGGGAACTTAAGAACAATAACCATCAAAAATAGTAAAAAATGGTATTAGTCTAACGTGAGATCTACCAGTAAGTTTATGGTCTGACATGCCATAAATGCCTAATAGTTTATAACAATTGCTTATCATTCTAATCTACAAAATCCAACAAATATAATGAACACATATTAGAAATAAAATGTTCATACTGAATATAACAAACTTCGTCAACTGTTCACATTTTGAATATTTAGGGATAAGCTAAAAAGGCTATTATCTCTTTAATATTACATACATTTATCAAGCTATACAGAAAATTATATTGAAAATTGTCTCGATAGATCGCACGTCATATCGAAATCCTAAGAGGATGCTACACAGGCATATTAAATTTAGCTTTGTTAGTTTAAAAATTAGAGTAAATCGACGTATAATAAAACTTGATGGTAAGAAGATTATATGTGGGTGTTCAACGATAGTTACATTTTTTAGCAAATTTTGCATATGTAAAATATAGTAAATTAAAAATGTTCATAACTTATTTAAGAAATTGAATTATCGTAAAAACCCACATACAAACACAGAAAATGTTCTTACCATTAAGTTTTATTAAAAGTCAATTTACTTGAATTTTTAAACTAATTTAGCTAAACCTAATCTGCTGAGTGTAAATTTTCTATGTTACGCACTTGTAAGACAGAGACAACAAATGTCTGTGTAGTATTCACTTAAAATGTAGATCCCCAACAACCAGTAAAAAACAAATAGTTTTTGAAATAATGAGTGTTCTCTAATGAAAAATCCACCTGGTATTTACATAAATATTAAAATATTACCATCATTCAATGTAATGTTTATTAATTATAACAATATATTACAGCTAATAAATTATTAGATACTAAATACAAGGTCAGGCACTAAAACAGCTGATTTTCTAGTAACAATAATTATGAAATTAGAGAATGAATTAATTATAATTATAATAATTCATATATTAAAATAAAGTAATTATAAAACATGCCAATTAATTAAAACTAAAATTATTTTTCTCAAGACGATTAACATCTATTCTATCCTCATCACATTGGATCAGACCTTTAAAGTTAAATATGAACAACTATCATTTTTATAACAATAATTTATTGCAAAAACGTGTTTACTAAATAGTGTATTGTTTTTGTTAATATTTAGTGAAAATCTTATCTTACTTAAATCAATATCGATAAAATCTATATAAAAAAGCTGGTCATTTTATTCACTGCCCCATCCTATATGATAAACAAAATATTAAATTATAAACATAACCCTATTATAAACCTGAAACTTTCAATAAGCTATTATTTAGAAAATACTATTTAAAAATATTAAAAAATCAAATGTATTGAAGATAAATATTCATTAATTTGAGAAAAATTGAATTTAACTTAAATAAATAAAATTATTAACTATGAATTTAAATTAAACTTAAAGTTATAAATATTACCTAATACAAAGCAAGTAACAGTGGCAAATACTCCAACTTTAGCACCAGCCAAACATCCTAATGGACCTCCAACACAAGACCCAACCACTGCTCCAATAAGTGGATAAGACATTTTCTTCAATTTTGCTGCTTTACGTAATGACTGTTCAGCTTGAATTACGTTTTCTTGTGTAGTCTCAACATGAGCTTCAACTTTTTCAACATCTTCTTTTTGATCCTGAAATTTAATTTAAAAAAATTACAATACAAAATAAAACTAATTGATAATTGGACATTTTTTATATATTAATATTAAAAAGAGTGCTAACATTTTCAAAAAATTAAAAATTAAATTAGAAATTATTCAATTGAACTAGAAAAAAATTTCTGTAAAATATATAGATACACATAAACTTTTGTAAGTTTTTAAATATAAATTTTACTTCTTATTTTAGGGACTTCACCATTAAAATTTCTAGTAGGAAAAGAAAAAATTATAGATAGATTGACAGGATACAAAAATTGGGAGTTAGATATTTGTTATATTTCACTCACTTCAACGAATGATAGTGATGTTTCATAATTATAAATTTAAAAGCAATAATTAATATAACAAAACATGAAAAAACTCATACTTGCTGAAATTTCTGCAACGTGTTTCAAGTTTATTTTCTTTACATTTAAGAAATTAACAAATATATAAAAAAATGTCTCTTCAAAGTAGCAACTAAACTCAATCACTAATTAATAGACATAAATATAATTTTGAAATTTTTTAACTTCCTAAAAAAGAGTGCAAAAAAGAAATGTAAAACGAATTAATTCCAAAACTTTTTCAAAATATTTAATATCTAAAAAAAAATTACTCTTTTTCTAAAATCTTTCAAAAAGTAGTATACATGCACCCAATAGAAAATAAAAATAAAATTAAATTAAAGTAATTTGTTTTTAATTATCGCTATTAATTAATATTTACATTTTATTTTATTTTGAAAACTGATAATTTTTTTTTTATATATCTATACCTATAATAATTTATATAGATTATATATTTTTACATTATATTTCCTAGTAAAATCTAAACAGATGTATTTTTTATTTGATAAATTTTTATAATTATATAGTTGAAAGTTATGTAATTATAAAAGAAGAAAGAACTATTGAGAAAAAATATATTAATAGCAAACCTGACACATAAATAAATAATATTTTTATAATTACTAGGTATAACAGATGAAAGGTAAGTTTAACTTTAATACATACATTTACTAATTTACTGAGATCACGAAATAGGTCTTGAATGCCTTGTATGTCTTTTTCAACATTTTTAACATCAGATTCAATAGCCAACATATTTTTCTGTTTTTGTTTTTCTTCTTCAATAGATATTAAAAACATACGTTTTTGGTTTTCTGCTTCTAATTGTTCTGTGTTGTCTTTAGACATATCTTCAAGCGCAGCATTAGATCTGTATTCATTTAAATCTTCATCTATTTAAATGAAAAAAAAAAGATTTACAATAGGTAATTTTTGAAAAAAAAAAATAAAAAATTACTTTTAAACATATCAATTGCTTCCAATATCAATTGTCTGCTTGGATTCATTTTATTATCAAATGTTTGTAGATCGACATCAGCAACTTGATTTCTTAAGGTTTCCATTTCTCTTAGCAATGCTCTGGCGCGTTTGATGGATTGTGAAGCTTTCATTTGTAATTGACGCATGCTGCTACGATTTTCTAAACGTCTTTGCTGTATGCAAAAAATTATATAACAGAACAATAAAAATAATCACTATAACCTATAGACAAACCTTGGAAAGATTGGATTTTAAGGTTTTCAATGTCTCCACTTGGTAAGGAATTGCATTTTCGACAAAGTTTTTGATAGGTAGATCTAAATGACGAATCCTTTGTTTTGTTGTCCACAAGCTCGAACTTTCGGCCATGATTATTCTTCAGAATCACAGCCCGATTGTATTAATTTATTCGAGATATAATTATACTCATATGATTTGCAATTTACAGTACGAGCATTATTCGACCAAAAAAGAAATGTCACTAAACCGTAAGCATAAAATAAAATACTGTATACCAGCAATTTGTTTGTAAACTTAATATCAACTTTTAAACAATAAATGTTATAATGTGACCAGTGTTAGAGTTAATGGTATTGAGAAATTAACTATAAAACTCAACTTGTGAGTTAAAACAACGTAAATAATATGCAAACGCGAGTAACGATTGACGAAGTGACGACTGCCTAGTGTATTAGTGTCTAGAGCTCTGTCTCTAATGTAGACAATGTAGTAATGTCTCTGTTCTCTAACTAGTCTAACTATAATAGTAACTATATCGTGGATATCGAATAACTGGAAAATACACAAAGAATTAAGAAATGATAAGAGCAATATGTTTTCATGGTTATCAAACATTATAATCACTTGTCTTGTTTACGAATTATTTATTTTTCGGTTTACCACAGTAAATACTAACTAGTAAATAGTTAATACTAAATTCTTACTCCTGCGTGTTTGCCAATTGATGATCTTACTTTTTCAAGTTAGCAAACTTTTTTCACGCTCTCAAGTTTCAATAACAATAGTAGTCAATTAATGTCAATTTTTGTTTATTTTATAGTTAGTAATATTACTTAACTTATTATTTTAGAAGTTGCCTACATTGACAATATTTATACCGGTAATGTATACACCATAGTAAATGAACTATTACGTAGTACCTAATGATTTAGTTAAAATGAAACTTAATATTAAAATACATACAGTGGCGGATTAACCTTCTCGGTGCCCTGAGGCTCACTCAGTGTTTACATCCCGTTTTTTTAATATTATCCAAAGATCATTAAATGGGCTAACATCGTAGAGTGATAAGTGATTGGATATAGCTGTTCCTGGAGTGAGAAATGGTTCAAAGATATTATGGTTGAATAATTATTGATTTACAAATATTGTATTACATACAATCTCACTAGTTACAATCTATAAAATGATAACATAAAAAGTATGAATAATTTAATATAGTTCTTTTTGAGCTTTTAATAGGAAAAAATCATTTATCTTATTTTTTTTTCATTTTTTTTTTTTTTTTTTGAGAGTAAAAATAATGTAACATAAAAAATTTGCCACTCTAGGCTTAAGTCTTACAAGCCCAGTGGGTAATCCATCACTGAATACGTAAAACTATTAAGTTTGATTGTCAAAAATTAATTGAATCTTGCCTCATAATAAATAATATATTATACTTTATTTTATAATTATAATAGTTATATAAACTACCTTCTTATGGACCAATATAAGGTATTATATTGATATTTTTAAGAATAAGTGCTGTTATGTATAATTATCGCTTAAGACCAATTGTTGATAGATTGGGAACCACAATGTTAATGTTGAATAGAATATTTTAAACATTTTTAATGATCTGAAAAGAATATTAAATAATTAGTATTTAGTATGTCAATCTAGTACAATCAAATCGCAGAACTTATTTCCAAGAAAATGATAGCTTAGTTTATTATACCAACATTTTTGTTAAACCAAGAATTGACTAATATGGAAAATTGTGATTTATCTTTATATCACAATTAATTGTCTTTTGTTTATGAATTCTAGAATTAAAATTTAATTTAAGGTGTATTAGAGACATTTTTTTACTGCATCATCTTTATGCCAACTAGAATATAGAACTGTAGTTTACATTAGATGCTTGGAATCAAGGAATCCGTAAGTTTTGATGACATTTTATCCACATGTGTTATTTCCTAACACATAAAATAGTAAATCTCAAGTTCAAAATAATTCATTTTATACTATTATTTTTAATATTAGACTTATTAAAGTTAATAAACTTATTATCAAATATAAAAATGAAAGTATTATATAAAGCTCTGTGTAGGCTTTTTAATATTTTATTTAAATCAAATTATAAGTATTTTAAAATATTCAATTAAAAATCATTGTTGAATAATATAATATTTATTTTTGCTAGTAGTTCATTTCCATGTTTAAATGATAAAAGTGGATGTTATTTAGTGGATTACATTTTTCTATACACTTTTAATGGACAATGTATAATTTACTGATGAATTATCTCATATACTTATGATTACAGTATTGGTTTAATCTCATATTAAAATGCCACCAAATTCTATTGCAAAAACATCCCTTATTGTTGGAGGATTAACATTTCTGGGTTTTATGGCTGGAGGAAGACTTGGTTCTATGTTTGGTAAGATTCATTAATTTTACACAATAGATTTATTTACTGTATTTCTATACAAAAAAAGCAAAATCTTAAATCAGTATTTTGTACATGCATTAATTTATAAGTACATGAATATAATATTTCAAGTATTTAAGCTACTTTAAACATTATGTTTTTTAGGAGCAGTTATTGGGACAGTTGTTTGTTCAATGTTAAATACAGAAGAACCAATAAGAATCCAAGAACCTCGTGCAGAAATTTCTCGTGTTACACCTTATGATCGTCCAAACAATAAAAATCGAAAACATAAAGCCAATAAGTCTAAAAGTACAAAATTATATATAAATGTATCATTATTTTTCTTATAAATAAAATATTGTTTTGTTTATAGATGAAGTGTATGAACCATCCAAATGTTCAATATGTCTTGAACCATTTAAGCCTTCAATTGTATTAATGCCATGTTCTCACATGTGTTTTTGTGATGAATGTTTTGAAAATGCAAAAAATAAAAATGTTTCTACTTGTCCAATTTGCAGAAACAATATTGAAAATATTATGTATGTTTATCCTTCATAAGGAATATTCTAACCAATGAAATTTATTAGGTAATATTTAATTTAAAAAAATCGGTTTTCATTTTTGATGAAACTTATTTTTTTAAATAATTGTTGTATTTATCTAACAAATGTAATATACTTAATACTTTTTATTTTATATAATTTGAACATTTGATAAGCACTTTAAATTGTGTTAAAAAAAAAATAAATAAATAATAAAAACTAAAATAGTAATAAATAATAAGCGAAGTAAAATTGTATTGTAATTAATTTTGTAATATTAATGTATTTGTATATGTTGTAAATTAAATAAAACCAATAGTTCTACATTTTTTAACTATCAATATTTGAGATATAAATAAATAAAGTAAATTAACTGACTGATGAACAAAAATACCTATGAGATATATAATTATAGTAATTATTATACCTTTCATACACCTAGTACAAAAATAGATTTAAAATAACTTAATGATCTTTAACTTTTTTGGTAACTAGATATTTTAAATAATTAAGGGATTTTGAATAAATACTAAAAATACAAAATATCTTTAACATGACGTATAAGCCACTGAAGCAAGTTCTTCAAGACATTAACTGTAATTCTAGTTATCTATGGAAGGGTGTACATAATGGATGCTTATTGTTTAAAGTCTAAGTGCGTTAAGCCATAGTATGTAATTAAATGTGTTTAGAATGAAGAATTCAGCTATTGTAGTCATCACAAATGACACAAATCCTTATAAGAAAATCATTAAAATTAAAAATAAATATTCATGTACTATCAAAAATTCATAAGCATAATTTTGAAAGTAAACAATACACTTAGTATAATTAGTAACATTAGATTTTACACACTGTAATTCAAGTATAGTTATATGTTTATAAGGGAAACATAAATACTGAAATGACACATTACAATCTCAGGTGTAGCAGTTCATATTATAGCTATAGTATTATTATTACAGTTCTTGAATCAGTCCAGATACACAACCCATGACTACTGTACGTTAATAGATTATAATAATATTATTAATTTTCACTTTATTAATTTATTTCATTCAACAAATAAAATTAAAAATAATAACAGATAAAGTACACCAATATTCAAGTGCCACAACTACTAAGGATACCAATAGGACCCCTAAAAGGAAAAGATAAGTTGGAACTACTTAGTACTCTCGGCCGAACAATTTAATTTTAAATAAAATATTTTATTATTTACAATGTATATTTTAGTTGCTCTTCTATAGCATATTAGATTAAATTCTTAACATATTAACAAATATTTAAATTTTAGCATTTCACAATGTTGTTCAATGATGTTTTTTTTTTTTTTTTCTTGAGCATTAGAGAAAAAATTAACCAAAAGATGGTGACTAGATAATTGCATGTATGCTGTATTTCTGTATACACTGCAAACAAAAACGAACATGACTTTATTATTACATCAAAACATAATTGCTGATAATAATTTTTACCTATCGTAATATATAATTTTAACTTGTGGCATGTATTTACACAGAGTACATTTAGATTAATAAAAAAAAAATTTTGCAAATCTGTTTAGTAGAATTTAAGATAAACATTTCAATAGAAATTTTTTCACTTTAAAATAATGTGTATATAATTAATATTTGATACTCTGTCTATCATGTTTATGAAAAATATGTAATATTTTTGAAACTTAATTCTGACATTTTTAAATCAATCAATAGCTATTATCTTTAGTGGTTTGCAAGTTATGGATAAGCCCGGATTAATAGGGAAGAGAAAGCACAATTACAGATCCCGTTAATTTTAGAAGCCCATCTCTAACCAGAAAATATTTATTTCGTGCTTACATAAATTATAAAAGAAAAATGAAATGTTGTTAATTGAATATAATAAAAAATTATTAAATATAATAACTTAACATTCATATTAAGTAGGTATTAATTTGTTATTTGAATATTTGATAATAATTTGATACAGTTTGTAAATTAAGATAGGAATTTTGAACTTATTGTGAATTTAAGACATAAAGTATTATAATTTAACGAAAGTGATGTATTTAATTTATTAAAATAGTTTTACAAAAAGTTATTACAAGATGTATTCCCTAACATTTTAAATATCTTAAAAGTTAAATTATAATTTACTATCTCAATTACCATTTGTTTGAAAGAACATTTTATAATTTGACAATTGATAGGTACATATAAAAAATAAATATAGAACAAGTCAAACTTATGAAATTTAAACATCATGAATAATTTTATACTTAGAAAATTATACTTAGCAATCAATTGATTTTAATTAAATTTTCTAACAATTTTCTAAACAGAAAATAAAAAAAAAATTGTAGTATTGATTTTTTTCGATTTCAAACATTATTTTAGGTGGAAAAAAAATTTAAAAAAAAATGAAATATAGGTACCCGCCCCGCCAAACGATATGAGTTAAGTATGCTTATTTATTGAATAGGTTACTATAATGGATGTGTTAAATTTGAATTCAATGATCATCATTGCATGTAAAAACGATTCTGAACGAAAGGCCGCAATCTATCAACCTATTATTATAAATATATATTGCTATATTAAAACTATGATAATTTATTTTACTATTTACAGTAATTTACTGTGTTAACTATAAATAGATTAATAGCATTAAATTAATCTACATTTTTTGAAAATATCAATATATACCTATAAAAGATCCTTATCCTTGTATATTATTATATAAGAATAAGTCTCTTTTATGTACCAAGTTTCTGACGTCATTATTGAATAATTTTTCGATTTTTTTTTGTTTCATTAAGTTGTTAAACTATTTAAATTATAATATATATTAAATAAATAATTGTGTATTGGCTCAAAACTAAGCACTGGCGAAGTCGATAACTCAGTTATATACTATAAACATTTTTTTGGTTTAATTAATAAAATGCATTGAAATAAATATTACACGCTTACAAGATACCAGAAAAAAATAACCACAACAATGGTGTACCTGAATTGCCTATCCAATACGCCCTATAACCATAATTGTATACACATAATATTTATAATTTAATGCCTACAAAGTACAAACAATATGATCAATAGGTTAATAGGTACCTAGTCACCACTGTATCAATAATTATTATACCAGAATCATTAACTAAATGGAAATATTTATATTATTTTATCTAGGTATCTTAAATTATTTAGAGTCTGGACTTTACATGAGGTGCGATCACATGTGTCTTTCAACATTACACATGTGCGCCGTTCCGCTCCTACTTTTAAAATCGCGGTTAGCGACAACGACTCGCGTAATGTTATGGACGGCAGGAGGGTCATCCACAGTACTAAACATACTATACAATATAATAAATGTTCATATAATAATATGGCAGACACATTGCGCCAGACACGTATATTATACACAAAAAGAATATATATAACAATAATAATTAGGCACCCAGGGACTTAATAATAATAATATAGTTACAAAAAAAACATATGATTTGTTTTACTTCGAATTTAAATATAATAATAAAATAAGACCCGATCGGCATTCAGGCGTCAGAAAAACCTCGTTATGCTAAAAACCGGATATCAGACTGATAGGAAAAACAGTATGAGTAAAACAAAATGATGTTTTGATCATTGTAAAATCAAAAACTTGAAGGTTTATTTAAATTCTGAAGTATTCCCCTACGAAGATTTTCAAAGCGACTTAACTAAGAACAAGAAGACCACATTATATACCGCGCATATACCGAGTTCCAGAAATCCTACTAGGGTCGTGATAATGTTACTCCTCTATTGACTTGATCGGATTTCAAAAAACTATCACCGATTATAATTGTGGATATGAACAGACAGAACGATAATGTAAAAACGTCGACTGTTGATCTAAGGACTGAGATTGAGACCGAAGAAGAGCGTTTCAGCCTCCACTACGGCATATTGCTTAATATTATATGATCAAATTATAACTTATAATCCATTGAATGGCGAAGTAAGAATAATGTTAATATTAATTATGAAACTTAAAATTATTTCAATGAATAAACAATAATTGTTATACATATCATGTCTTTATTTCACATAAGTTATTAATACAACTGTGTATAGAAGAAAATACAATAGTTATATGACTCGGATTCGTGGGGATGGGTAAGACCTAGCACATACATAATAGACACGAATGAGAAAGACAAGGTCACTCACGTAAGACCTAGTAGACATGCGATAAGCAAATATGGGGAATGGGGTGGACACCACACAATATGATGGGTGGGAAAGGAGGGCACGGACGAGCACATGAGTGATAGACATGGATGGGACGTGTGGGTAGATGGACATAAAATAAAAGGAGACAGAAAGCAAACAATCGTGAAGGTGATATGTTATCTATATCACGTTTTCCGATGACGTGTTGTGGGGGACATCATTTGTTAACTTATATTTTCGCACTCTCACAGTCCCATCCATTTCAATTTTTTCCAGCACCAATATTTAGTGCTCCATTCTTGCTCAATCACCACCCCTGCAAAAATTAAAAAATACTGAGTAAGGCAAGGGAATTTTTTGTGCAATTTTAAAATTTTGTTAACTGTTGATCTCTGAGACAATTTTGGGCGTTGGAGTTAATTGACCCTGACAAAATTAAATGAAAAATTGGTTTAGATTGGTTATATACTTGAATTAAGAAAGATCTTAAATATTCTGCATAGTTTAATTTCAATGTAATTTGGTTATTAATTAATTTCCGTTCTGATTTCATAAATCCCAGTCACACCTAGTGAAAAAAATAAAGCTATTCAATCAAGTTATTGTGAAGGAGTAGGAAACAAAATTTATGATAAAATGTATAATTCATGAAAAAGGATATAAAAATTCTTTTTAAGACAACTTGTTTATTAAAATGAAATTTTAAATTGTATAAATTAAAATTCAACTGGAATTTTTTAAGCTCTTCATTTGAACAATTTATTTTTTTCAAATCGTCGATTAACCCTCAATTTCTATTGCCACGTTTGTAGTATGCAGTAAAATGTCCAATTGAATTGCGAAGTCTGCTCAAACCTTTATAAAAACAAACACAACACTATTCTCACCAACACCATCGGTTCTTTTTCCGCCTTTTTATATCCATCTATTCTATTATAGTTTTTTAGGTATTTTCGTTATTGTATTCGGTAATTTAAACCTTATGACTTATAAGTCATGACAAATAATTTTATTATATATTTTGTAATATAAATAAAATGTTTTGTGTACACAAAAAAAAATTTGTTTTTCATGTGATCATTTATTATTCATACTGCATGTATCTAGATGTATTTATTGTTCGAGTTGAAATGGTTCATACCCAACAAAAAACCTTAAGATCTACCGCTCTACTGTACAATGAGTTTCGAATGTAATACCGCGAGTAGTTACTCGATATTACTCGAGATTAATGGATGTTTTGAAATATGAATTCGAGCTGGATTTTTATATTAAACTAGAGTAGTATTTTTCGTAATTTATTATACGTGTTATCTTGTGAAACTCTCTGTAAGTGAATACCCAAGGTCGGAGACAGAATACGAATAAACTTCTAGTAAAAAAGTCTAGTAATCAAAAGTTTAGTCTCGTGACGAAACGGGTGAAACCGACGTTTGTACCACTCACTGACTTGGTAGTTTTATACTATGGCGTTATCATTTTTAACGCATTTAAGTTTACAAAAGCCGAATTTGAGTACTTAACAGTCGGTCATTACCGATGTAATACACCTTGTTCCATCGCTTTTTTTGTATGTAAAATAAATAGATACATTCCAAAAATAGCAATTGAGTGTTTAGCTCAGTGATGTATTTAAAGGGAGGGCCCTAGCACCCCCCCCCCATCAGACCTCTTCGGCAGTCTTTTTACTTACTTAAATATTTAAAATTGTAATAATAATAATTATTATTATAAGCAATTTTGCTTCTAAAATGAAGTGTAGATTAGATTTTGTAATAAGAAGTTATTTTATATTTAATAAATATTCTACTTCTCAATGTGATACGTAAATTCAACGCAATATTAAGCATTAGAGTTAAATGTATTCTTTGAAATTCACAATTTGCTTTATGTAATTGTAAATAAACACAATGCAGTTGTAGCATCCTCTTGGCTAACATATTACTTAATATTTTTCAAGATCCTAGAAGAAATCTGCAGTTAGGTATTAACATTAAATGTATGTTATTAAAATACTATGTAGTATATTAAATGAATAATTAATATTAACTGAACATAATTTTTTTGATACAATTTATTTCTAATTCTCAAGTGTCAAGTATGCAAAATTATTACAATAATTCACAGTTTGTTTTTTAAATAATTATATACACAACAAAATATCATTTTAAGCACAATAATAATTTACATATACACACTTAAACTAAACAATTATACAAATAAAGTAACTTTAAAATAAATTAAAAAAAAATATATGTATATATATATAAATATATAATTAATGGCAAAATGAAAAATGTTTATCTATAATATAGATTTTTGCCCAAATTCTATAGATTTGTGCTTTTGAGATCTTATACAAGACACGTAGAAAAAAACCATACGTGCATATTATAAAATACTACTCGTTTAGTGAGTTACATTAGTTTATACTTAAGTACACTTGACTAAAGTGAATAAATATTTAAAAATTTATTTAAGGTTTTAAATTACCCTGTGAAAAATTTTTCGTTTAAATAACATAAACGAAAGTACATTACAAATTTTAATATAACGGCAATACATTTGGCAAAAATATAATATTTTGCACAAGAGGAAAACTACAATTTATTTTTTTTAAATTATAAATGCTTTTGGTAACTAAACAATTGGGAAATGCATGTTAGAAAAATATTTTGGCCTACAGTTAATGTTGATTGTTGGTATTAATGAGATACACTTTCAAAATAGCTCATTGATATTGAATTTAGGGTAAAAATTAACTATTAATTTAAGGTCTTGCATTAAATTTTTAAAAACTAGATGGTCCAAAATATTTTTCTAGTTTTAATTTTAATTGGCCAATGACAATTTTAAAATTGAAACTAATGCCAATAAATGTAAAGTACATTTAATCTAAAACTAAAGCGAGGATAGTTGCCAGAAGAAATAAATCATAAAAATTAAATAAATAAAAAAAAAAGAAAATTAACAGGGATTATGTTTACAATTATAAAATAGGTACCAAATTAGGTATCAAGTAAATTTCTGTATTTAAGTCAATTAAGTGATGCTTTAAAATAATATAACTTGTAATATTTCAAATATGTGACTTGTGCAAAAAAAAAAGTAGTAAGGATGGGCTGAAAATATAAAATATTTTGAGTTATTTACCTGAATTGCATAATTATAAGTTTTAATAAAAGTTATGTTAACCAAATTAATATTAATAATGGCTCTTTTCTTATTTATATAACAAATTTAATTCAGAGTAACTATGAGCAATTTCAAAATCTAATTTTAAAAATTTGAATGAAATGTTTAACATTGTTATAATAACAGTATTTTCCATATTATTTCATATGATAAATATCTTCAATGTAATAATATCATTTTAAAATAAATATACTATATTAAATCCTTATGAATTTTATAAATTATTATTTTTATTGCAAATTTAATATAAATTGGGAATTTCATTATACTATCATTTAAAGAATACCCTAAAACTTTTTCAACATATTATTTTATATCTTTAAAACTGGATAGATTATATTAAACAACTTCTAATTATTTTTTTTTAAAAAATTATAGAAAATTTGACTTATAAAATTTAATTCTATGGTGGGATACCAAATTATACCTCGTACATTTAGTCAATTTAAAAGCTGATTATTTTTTTTAATTACCTCAACAAGTGGAAGAATGAAAGACAAATTTACTTTTAGTTTCACAAAGTTTTATGAAAATCAATAAACATATTAATAAAAGTCTTATTTTGTTTATTCACTATAAAGTGGTTAACTTATGCTATACTTGGATTTTCTCTACTCTAAGTCAATTTCAGTAGTAGTGATTAGTAAACTTGATATATTTTTTTTATTATAAGCCACTATAGAAGATTATTTTCAAAGAATGTCAAATAACTTACATCAATCTAAAACCTAGATTAGATGTTTTAAATTGAATAACACATGAAAAATTGTTTAATAGTATACTTAACATAATAATAAATAATTTAAAATAAACTATACAATAAAAAAGGGGATTATATTTTTAGTACTACTTTGGTATTATTAATAACTCTAAGCTGTGACACCTAAGTTATGATTATTTATTATCAGGGAATTACAATAATGTGTTTATTGCATAACTCAAAGTAATACTTGATTTATCTTTATTACAAGATAAAAGAAAAAAATTGAGGGACAGAGCCATGTAATAACCACTCCAATATAATTTTGTATGAATTTACATTTTAAAATAAGTGTTGAAAGATTGAAAACTTAATAATATTATCAACCTTGATGTTAAAATCATGTGAGGTGGGTAATTAAATTTTATATTGCATATGATATTAAACATGATTACATGATAAAAATAAACTAAGAAGATAACTAACAGAATGTATTTAAGGGAATCTATTATAAATTCCAGAAATATATTAAATAGAAAAATATCTGAATTATTGTAAATATTAAAAAATATTGTTAAGTTACAATTAATAACAAGATATTATAATGTATGGTAAGAATAAAGAATACATTAACACATAATATACAAAGTAATTCACTAAGCATGCAATTCCACATTTATCAATTAATTATGAACTTATAAACTCTGATTTTTGAAATTCTAAAGTATACTTAATGATATTCTTTTTAAATATTTTAAATACTATTAAAGCAATGTCCCATATGATACTAACATCTTTTTTCAAGTGCAACACTTGATCCTGTCAATTGTTAAGTAAATGATTTTTTGAAAAAAAATTGTACAAACCCAAATTTAAATTAGTTTTTGAACTATTTTGAACTATTAATATTAATCTATTGGCATCTTAATCTTAGTGAAATCTTTAGAAAATAAGAATCACTAACCATAAGGTTAAGTATTACATCCATTTTATTGTTTGGTTTAAAAATTTTTAAGAATTATTAACCTCATTATATAAATTTTCTTATAATAAAAAGTATTTATTTAACTTTTAATTTAACTAGATAAGAATTTTTTTTAAATCATTTGCTTAAAAGTTAGTTTTTTTAAAAAAAAAAATAAGTATGCAATGGTAGAAGACATTTCCTTCATAGTATACAATCTTTCTTAGTATACTGAAGTATCCAAATCAGAATTTCTATAAATTCATTACTAAAAGACCAAAATAAAGTGTGAGCAAGTTTGAAATCGCTCAATATATAACTTTTAAAAATTATTATGAGAAACTTTGTAAGATTATAATTAATATCTCTTGGATCTAAATTGAATACATTTAAGTTGAAAAATATATAAGAATAAATCTTGATAACTATTATATGTACTTGATCTCATATTGTTTTTATGAAATTTGAAATACATAATGAATTACTTGAAATATTAACTTTTTTTGTCAAAAATGTGGGTATAATAATTTACAATAATATAATTAAAAAATGAAAAAGACTGAAAGATATGAAGTAATAATACAACAAAATTTGTGGCAATATATTTTTAATTCAAAAATAGGGTAACAATAAAAATAATTAAACCTAACTAATGTAGAAAGTTCATTAGTTGTATATTTATAATTATTTTAACTTTGAAAATGATGATAAGTATAATCCATAACAACATATGTGATGCAACAACTTGTTTGTAGACTAGATAAAGAATATTGTTTAAATTAAAAATTTGGTAACATCAAAATAATTGTCAAGAATATACTTAGTTTTTTTAATTTCTTATAGAATTTTCAAAGCCCATCCTTACACTATCTTAAATGTCTATCTTAAACATATTTTTTTTCTTAAACATTTGTTTAATTAAGTGTAAGATATTTTAAAGAAAAAATATCTATATAAAAAAGAAAGGAAAAAATTAAATTAACACAGTCAAATATTACCAAAACCACGTTTAGGAAATCCGTACACTGAGGAACCAATATTGTAATGTTCACGCTGTGGTCAAACATTTCCTATGACCAGTATGCTAGGACGGTAAAATGCTGCGCACCGCTTCATCTGTTGCCGGATCACTGCGTTGCAAATTCAAAATACTGTCTATGGCGTTTTGCACCTGTGCATTTATTTCTTCATCATCAGGGCAATGACGTTTGCTATCTGATGTAGACTGCTCATCCTCCAGTTGGTGTTCACGTTTTTTAGATACGGATTCATCATTACAACCTGAAAGTTATTGGTTAATAAAATAATTTTTTTTCCATTATCAATCTGCATCTTACTTGTAGAAGTAGCAACTAAATTTGTATTCAAATTTTGTTTCAACTGTTGTAATTGTGCAGACTCATCAGCATCAAATCTTCGTCCCAACATAATCAATTCAGATGTTTGTACTTCCCTCTAATAACAGAAAATTAATATAATTTCTAATATTCTAAGTATTTAATATATAGAACCCAGAATTATAAAAATTTGCAATTTTATTAATAGTTAAAAAAGTTGTTAGATAAAATGTTACTTGATTCATTATTTAATATTAAACTAAATATACTTTTTTCATTTAGAAACAAATATTTTTTGCCTATTAAATGCATTTTATTGTCATTAATGTGTTATTTATGTTTAATTATATCTATATGGTGCCTATAGAATACAGGATTCTTGGTTGTGTCAGTAACAGGGTTATTTTGGAGTATGAAATTAACTTTTGGTTATCAAAATAATTTTTCATTATTAAATATATATTTTGAGAATTTGTAGAAGATACTATTTTTATTGTAATTTACATAAATTATACAGTAAATATTAAAATTAATTTACTCTTATTTACATCAGTATATTTAAGAAATGATTTTCAAAAAAAATAACAAATCCAAACTGAATTAACTACAACAGAAAATTATTCATACATTTCAATCATATTTAATTAGTAATAGTTGCTATTCCAAGTAAATGAAACTATAAAATAGTTTACTTTAAATCTAAAAAAAATACTAATTATATGTCAAAAAACTTTCAGTGATAATATGAAAAAAAAAAAGTAAAATAATTTTGATACAACTGATACGGCTGGATATTTTACAAATATTGATATTGAACAATAAATAAGAGCTAGGCAAAGTATAATGAATCAAACTTACTAATAGAAAAAAGCAAATCAACTATTGTAAACCATTTTATGATAGCTATATTTTATTAATAATCTTAAAGAATACAACAAATACTTCAAAATTGTATGATCATATCCATAGAAGCTGTTCTATATTTAATCTTTCATGAAGATTTTAAAATTTAAAAATGTAATGGATTTACATTTTATCAGTTTATTTTGCATATAATGGTTAAAATATAAAAATGTTCATGAACTTACCATCAATAAAAAAAAAATATAAATATAAATAATAATAATGCAAATAATTCTGAGTCCTAATATTAAAATATAATACAATATAAGTATGATGCTTACCATGCTTTCTTTAAATAATAGGTAACGGTATTTATTAAATAATGAAGCTTTTTTATCTAACATTTGTTTCGCAGTTGACTCAAATATTTCATCAGCTAACTCCAAATCTCTTTCAGATAATACGGCTTCATTTAAGCAATGATAACGTGATAATCGTTTTACAGCATCACTCACTGAACTAAAAGGCGTCACGACATCAGGATTAGTTGCACCAGATTGATCAGCTGCTATCCGCTCAGAAATTCTATAATAATAAATATAATATTTAAGAGAACACATCAGTAAAACTTATGTTTTAATACATAAAATATAGTAAAAATTTGGTTAGTTGACTTTTAACCTAAACAATTTTTAGTATAATTATCTTTAAATCGAATTTCTATTTTATAAAAACAAACCAATTTTAATCATACAGATTGAGGTGAGCAATTAACCACACAACTAATTGTGATAACATGCTCTATAATAGCGAGTTCCAGCATGAGCCCATTAACTCAAGAAACTGAGTAAATTAAATTAAATTTCAGTTCAAAATATGATGTTAATATATTGATTTAAATTCTAACATAGGTAAATGTCCAATAAATTTGTAATATTATAATAATATTACAATAATATTATTAATTTGTAAACAGTAAATTTTATAATTTTGATGACTACTTATTGTAGAGTTTTATGTCATCATTAAATGTATTATTTTGAAGTTTCAAATGATAAAAGACTGAAAAAATTGTTTTAGATGTAGATTGACTTAAATAGTTTATTTATATTAGAAGTATTTATAAACAGTATTTATTATTTCTCAACTCATTCTTAGTAAACAAAATGTTTTCAGAAATTATGGTTTGTCACATACATAAACTTATTGTCAGTTAACAAAATAATATCAAGTTTCTTCTAGAATATTTAAGTGAAATATTAACTGTACTTTACCTAGTTCTGAATGAAAACTATCAATGTTTTTGTTTTGTCTTTAATTTAACACAAATTCACATACATTATATAAATTATTCCTTAAGTTATCAAATGTCTATATAAATAGTATAGAAACTTGACCAGATAATATACTTTTTTAAACTTTCTAGTAGGACATCAATTGGACAACTACTTAATATTAGAATAAATAGATAACATAATAACCAAAACAAAAATACATCTAATCTAGGTAACCAAAAAACTCCCCCATTTAAAATACAAAAAGATTTAGATAATATTATACATAAATATGATAGAGAAAAAAATTATGATATTATGCTCTCTAAATATTCATATACAGGATAAATAAAATAAAAATGGATACTGAACACTTACAATGATATTCGTTTTGAAGCACTAAATGCAGGAAGAGTTGGGGAAGGTTCACAAGATGTTTGAGTTCCAACCTATAAAATAAATAATTATTAAAAGCTATAATATTTATTTAACAATATTTTTTAAATTTAGGTGTTATAAATCAATGAGATTTGTTATTTTATTCAAATGTTAGTATCTAACACATATTTTCTATTTTACTATAAACTATTAAATTTAAAAAAAACAACTTATTTTTTCTGCATTTTTTAAATTTAAAATATAATTTATTTATTTTCAAGCTTTAAAACTAATATATAATATTACATTTGGTAAATAAATGTTATAGAATAAGCTACAATTTTTATTTAAAAAAATAATAAATAACTTACTTGTACATGTAAGGGAGATGTTGATTTATTACTAGTTGGAGGAGATGCAGTAGTTAATGTTTGCACTGTAAGAGGGGGCGACAAGGTATGAGGTGGACTTGATGACATTGGACAAGGTGGAGGCACTAATCTTACAGGTGTAGATACCTAAAAATATATTTTATTTATTATATATTGTATTACATGTAGAAAAATTATTAATTCTTACATAGGTTATTCCTTGTGAATTTTGTCCAGAAACAGTAGGAACAATTTTGCCACATTGTAAAATTTTTTGTTGTTCATTAAACAATCTTTGTAAAGCAGTTTGTTCACTACTTGTACGGTATTTTTTAGCGCTCAGAGCAGATATTTGATTTTGAACTGCTTTTAACAACTAAATATTGACAAAAAAAATATTTAATTTTTTTTTTTTAACGGATAATTTAAAATTTAAAAATGTTGACAAACCTGTTGTTTTTGTGGTGTAAGTTGTATTGTTTTTACCCTTTGATTTGAAATACTACTCTCTGGTGAATTCAATGGAACTGGTGTATCATGATGTTCTTTCTCTTTTTCATCACATTGAAATACCATTGGTTTCACAACAGCAGCTCTTTTCACTTTTCTTGGTTTAATAGGAGCTTTATTAGCACATGGTGGAACAACCATAGTTTTATTGATCAAAATATTCGGATGAGATTGGGCAATACTATCTAAAAACGCATTTTGGGATTGAACTTCTAAAGGAACAGAAGCTTTAGGTGGACTACTTGGTCTAAATATTTTTGATGAAACTGCTAATGGACTTCTGTTATTTGTTCTATTGATTACAGACGTTTGATAATTAGACAATGTTGTATGATTATCATTTGATTGTGATATAACAGCAGCGCATGGTTTTGAAAACTGCATACTATTTTGCTGTGGTGATGTTACAATGGTTAAATTTGGTCGATTTGGCAACATTGGTGTAAATGATTGAGAAACATTTGGTGATGGTATAGGAGAATTATAAGAGGCAGGACTCTTAGAATTACTTCTAGAGGTATGAGACATAGCTGGGCTACATTGAGGACTTATCACAGATTGAATACTTCTAGGACTATGGGAAGATACTGGTACGGTTTTAGACCTTGATATTGAAGTTTGCATAACTCTTTCTGAAGTATGAATTATTGGAGTTTGATTTTGTAATTCTACATTTTTATTTAATGTAGAAGAATTAGTAACTATTTGCAATCGGTTTTGTTCTTCATTAAATAAAATATCATTACTTCTTGAAGAATCATTATTAGCTGCTACTAACAGCCGACTATCCATCATGTTAGAAACAAGTTGAATGCTACTACTTTGTTGATGGTCTAAACTTGACACCATTGTACTACTGCTATGCATTACTCGAATACTGTTATTTTGCTGCATAACTTTATTTTGATCCTCAACAGGCGTTGACATAACAAATTGTTGATGATTTTGTCGATTTTCAACACTTACAGGAGTACCAGTGGTGGGAAACATCAAATGTTGGCCATTAATAATATTTTGTTGTAACGATTGAGGTTCTAACACAGTTACAATTTGAAGACGGCCAGAGACATCTGCTAAAATACGCATGCCAGAGCCATTTTGTGGTTGGGTGGGTAACGTCGTATTTCCTCCTTTTAGAAGTAATGATTCAGCACCAGCCACACTCAGAACAGCATTTTGAAGAATGTGACCACCATGATCAGCAACTAACTGAGCTAACTGTGTCTGAGCTGCAGCAGCAACACTTGCAGAAACATTCTACAAATTAAAATCAATATTGATCAGGTTAATAAAAATATTTATTACCAACAAAAGCAATTGCATAAGTGTATAAATCAATAAAATAGAAATATTTAAGAGTAATAAATTTATATGTCTATCAATTTCCAAATCATTTTAATACAAAATATAAATTGAAAATAACATAAAAAAATACAGTAAGTGCAGGATTTATAAGCCAACGTGTCTAATACTGACACTTAATCACTAGGACATCACCACCAATGCACACAAATCGAGTCCTAAATAAAAAAAATAATCAAAAAAATTTCTAAGTTGAGTCTCAAAGTTTACAATGATATATGGTAATATACTTTTATAAAAATGTATTCTAGTTTAATTCAGTCTTATCAGATAAACATCGCATAATAGCACATAATGAAGAAGGATATATATATTATAAAATTAATTTCTATTTTTTTTAACACAATACATACAACAGCTTTACAATAAGCTTATTATTGACTTGTATATGTCTTATGGCTAGGGGTCATTTTGTTAATTTGTGCAACACCAAGAATATTACCATGATGACATGAGCATTTTATATAATGTATTTGCGTCGACCGGTTACCGGAAATTAGCGATTATATGACCATTGTCGGAATCACGGTGGCGTGTAATCTAGTAGTAACATTAGGTAAAGCCCGTTATATAACATTTGTACTGACAATAAAAATAACTTTTTTGATTCTTATGTCAACTATATTCAGTAGAAACAAGACAAATATATGTACTGATGTATCTTCATGTAGTGTACTTTTTTGTTAACATATATACCACAATGGAAATTGATTCTAACGGTATATTAAGCAATAAAGATAAAGTGTTAGTATTAAAATACAAGTTTTGTTTTTTATAAATAATTTAAAAATGAGATTAAATGATAAAGGTATATGAAAAGTAGTTTTTGAGCATTCTTTAAAATGAAAAAAATTTTTATTAATAAAATATACTAAATACTTACTAGGATTAATTTCACCCACAGATTAAGAAGAAAAAAATATTATTTTCAAAAATTATTAGAATAACCATTTTAAAGACTATAAATTAAGTAGACAACTATTAAACAATGAATTAATAAGAAAGGTAAAAGACAATATTTGAAAGACCATCAAAACTTAAAACATATTGAGCATGCTACAAATTAAATTAATGCTTTGAAAACTTAAGATTTAAATTTATATATTGTTGCATGCGTGCTTTCAACTATCTGATATTACGTAGCCCTCAAAATATTTACTATTCACCGACTAGGTCTTTTATAGTATAAATGTATTCAATTGGCCAATAATGTCCATAATAATTTATAAAACACAAGTATCAAGACAAACATAGGTTAACTATTTAAAAAGGTCTACGATATAAATTTAAATATTTATATTCAATTAATATTTTTTTTTATTTTTAGAACTCAATTCAGATACAGCCACTACCTTATAATTTCTATTCCAAAAGACTTTTATACCTTGCCGAATATGTATATTACACAGTTTAAGATGAAACACAACTATGTCAGTATTAACATACATAATAACAAATTGCATAATATTTCAATTTACCTGAGTTAACGTATTAGTGGTTATCTGTGGTTGATGTACAATCATACGTCCATCTTCTACTAAAGACAAACGAAAACCTCCCTGTAACATTATTTAAGACATTAATTAAATTTATATTTAAAAATAACCACCAGCACTGAACATTTACTTGAGGTGAAGAAGTAGGAGTTTGCAATTGAGCTAATAAAGGCGCAGATTGTTGATGAGATTGTGGAGGGGGAGTTGGAGTTTGTTGTATTCTATTATTTTGATTTAATTGATTTTGTTGCATTATAGGTGTACCAGATTCTTCTTCATCAATACCTAAACAAAATAAGCAATAGCTTAGTCATAACATAAAAAATTAATTTGTTTGCAAAACTAACCAGACAATTTGATTAGATTTGCAAGGTCTAATCGTACAGGTTCATCATCTTGTGACCTTGAATGCAATTTTGGTTTCTTTTTTTTAATATTCATTGACCTATTATTTGGTGATTGTGTGATAGTGGATTGAGGTGATAATGCAACTAATGCTGGACCAGAACATGTTTGAATTTGTTGTAATTGGACACTTTGGCCACTTACCAACCTCACAACCTAATATAAAAAGAATTATATAACATAATAATAGTTATAAAAATTTCTTAAAAAATGTATTATTACTAACTTGGTTTGACTGTTGTCTAGGTTGTTGAAGTAAAATTTGAGTACCATTACAAGTGACTTGAGCTTGTTGCGTATTATGGTTTTGAGTATTAGGGGATCTGAGAAAAAGCTGAAGGCCACTAGTTGTTTGTGGACCAACTATTACACCAGCAGTTGGCATAATCTAATTTTAGTAAAAATAAAAAATATTGTTATAATAAATACAAAGTTTATTAATTTAAAAAGTATTTTGTATTATAAGAGAAATAAAAAAAAATATAAAAATACAATGAACTACTTCTATTCCTTAATATAAAAAGAATTGTATTAATTAATAAGATAAAAAACCTACTTGATTTATCAAGAAAGCACCTTGTTGTTGACTATGTATTGAAGTTGAATGATGTGTTTGTTGTGACTTAATGCTGTTAATACTAGCATGGTTCTGTACATGATTATTAGGTTTAGGTAATATTTGGGGCGGTTTATTTTTTACTTGAACATTATTTACATTATTTCGACTATTTGATTGAATAAATTGTAAAACCGGCCCATTAGTACTCATCATCTATGAGAAAAAAACATGTATAAATTTAATAAAAAATATTGCATTTTTATTAATGAATTATTTGACTAATTGAACAGTTATTTACCTGATGGATAACTTGTGGTTGGGGTGTAATAACCCTCTGTTGGGGAGAGGGAGTAAGTGATCGAGAAGAGAATGGTGATGAAGGTGATTGTGGTATACATTTTGTGTTAGTAGTATCCAATATTGCTGTAGCCTGTTGTTGTTGAACCATTGTACCAGATGTGTGCTGTTGGGCACCCATCTTAAAAATAATATTAAATCAATGTTTATTATTTATACTAGATCAAAACTAATAATACATTTAATATATATTTTCATACAAATATTTCTACTAAAATAATATTTAAGTTTTTAAATGTAAAAATTGAATGTCTAAAAAATAAATTATTATTGCATAGTAATTAGGGAATTATTTAAAGAACAGTTTAAATGTTAAAAAGTATCATAATAGATTTTTTTAAATATATAAGAACAATTGCAGCAAATGGGACAGAATGTAGGAAGCTGGTAAATTTTAAGTAGCACTTAGATTTTTAGGATCAATGTTACCGGCAAAGCATAATGCATTAATTTATATAGTATTATACCTGTCGTATGCTTGTTGAGTGAAGAATGTTGGAGTGCTGAACATGTTGATGAAGCACTTGTTGAAAACTTGTATGTTGATGTAATGTTGCAGCTTGTTGTGTGGTAACAGTTGGGAAAGTTGTTATGCCTTGCCCCTGAGAACTTGCAAGAACTATTTGAGGTCCTCCTGCAAGTACACTATTATTTCCTGTACCCTGAAATTATAATTAATAATTATTAAGTATAATACAAAACTTTAATAATTATTGTGATATAATTAAAATATTTACTGTAGTTTGATGATGAAGTGTTAATGTTAATCCTCCTGCAGCAGCTTGTTCTTGTTGTGCTTGTATGTGTTGTAATTGTTGATACTATACAAATATTCATATTTACAAACATGGGTATTATATTTTTTCATAATCCTAAGTATTTAAAAGATAAATATTTAAAAACAAAATGAATTATATACCTGATGATGAGTGAGGAGCACTGAACTGGCAGGGCGGCCGTCTAATAGGCCCTGTGGTATAGAATCCACGGTGCCTTCCAGTCTGCAGCACACACCATACATTCAATTACGCTTTAGCCACCTAGAATCGAATTTTATTCTGATTTATTTTTCTAGTTGAATTTTGTCAGCTACCTAAAGTTCAAATATATACATTTTTAGTAAGTAGGTATATAATTTGAAGTATATAATAACAAATTTAATTAATTTGATCGTTCATTTCAAAGAAAAACAAATTTAAAACTATACGAATTAATCAATATCTAATAACTTGATTTATAAAAATAATTAAAAATAATTAGAACAGAGTGTCTATCTATGTATTATTTATAAATATTTCATACACCTTCCTATTTTAAAAAATTCAAATTTGGCTAAGGATTTCTTAAATGGAAAATAAAAATTCATATATTTGAGTATTTGCAACTAAAATCATGATAGTAAAATCGGAAAAATTTAAAACAATATTAAAAATATTAGATTACTTAATAAAAAGATTGCATAGTAAAAAAGATAAAATATGTCACAAGCAAATAAAATGACAATTATTGTCATATAGAAATCGTCTACCCTTGAAAAATGCAAACAATAGACAACAATAATGTAACTTGTATCTGTGGTAAACAAAACCAAAAGAGAGAAATAACGGACATACTACGACAACAAGGCAATTAATTTGCCGTCTAGGGAGTCCATGCGCGATTCAAACTTTTGAGTCTATAGCAATTTATTGAATCTATCGGTCAAGACAAAAACCCCTCGACCACTTGTGTCAAAAATTCAGCACACAACACGCCTTTTTGATTCGGTCAAATGGCAATGGAACGTTTTGAAAAACAAAAACCGATCGCTTTCTTAACGTCTTTTCAACGGACGAGCAACGGTAATCACGGACAACTGCGATCGCATTAAAAGTTTACAACCGAAAGCCTAAAAACGACTTATGACCGGAACACTTAACGTAGGACTTTATCAGCGGCGTTTTCGTGTTAACAAAACAAAACCGGACGGCTAGGGAGCACTGACTAGAGGACACGTACTGAAGTGAGCGTGAGATACATTTTATTGTGGATTTAAAGGCTACTGCAGCTGCTGCAAGTGCTGTGCGAGCGTATACTCGATGCAACACGCAGTCTGCTAAAGAAGCTCGCACACGAGGACTCACGTCAAAACGGTAATAATACTTTTACGTCAAATTGCATTAATTATAATAGTAAACTCGACGGCGTACAGGTACGTGTAGCACGATTACCTTACTGTTATTGTTTTTGTTATTACAATAGGTAGATAGGCAGATAGGTGTATATTATTGTTATTGTTATTGTTATTACTTGTTGTTGTCAATGCGAATATCGTGATTATTTTTCGTTGGTTTATTACGGCAAACCGCAATATTGTTGTTAATTATATTGCACCCTTACCGTTTCTTGCACGATGCCAGCAGTAGAGTCCGGCGATCCGATTCCGTTACATAATAATAATAATAATAATAGTAATAATAACAACAACGACGACGACGACGACGACGACGATCGCGATAATTCGATGGCGGCACCCGGCACTAATGTCGCGGTAGTTCGGACAATAACATCGCCGTCGCACAACGATACACGGACGGCAATTAGCGTGGCCGATAACAACAACATAACATGATATTCACAATAAACACAACGACGCGCGATACGTATTTCGGGCACTACTACTATAATACATGATCCGTCGTCGGCGGCACGGCCACATAATTGATGATGAACGAGTGTGTGTGTTGCGCGCGCGCGTGTGTGTGTGTGTGTGTATGCGTGTGTGTGCGCGCGCGCGTGTTTGTGTGTTTGTGTGTGTGGTGCGCGTGCGAGTCGCTTGCGCTAGGCCGTGCGTGTGCAAGTGCGTGCGTGCGTGCGCGCGCTATCGCTATCGCGCGGCTCCGTAGTAGTGTTAGCAGCGCGCGCGCGCGCTTGTGTGTGTATTTGTGTGCGTGCGCGCGCGCGGCGTCCCCCCTCGCCATCGGTGTGAGCTTGTGTGCGTGTGTACACAAACAACAAAAATCGAACGGCCATTTTATTGTTTTGCAAACGACGACAACGCACGAAAGGATAAACCTGCTGCTGCCGCCGCCGCCGCCGCTACAGATCCGTCATCCCATAAAACTGCCAGTGTTGCCAAAACAGTTTATAGAAACCCGTCCGATCGCAGACGATCCGTCACTGCCGTTCGCGCCCCACGGTCATTGTGGCCGCGCAGTCTCGCTTAGACGGTATACACATATTATAATGTTGTTGTTGTTATTATTATTATTATTATTATTATTACGATACCATCGTCTCGTCTGTTGTGTTTAGTGTTTACGAGTTTACGTCGTATACGACAACAACAACGATAATAAATCATATCACCATTCACACCGTCCACTATCACGATGTGACTAATTTACTGTATTAACTCGTTGTTAACCTATCACACGTCTTTTATTATCGTTTTTAATTTTTATTGCTCATTACTGCATTAGTACAATAACTAAATTAGCAGTATTAGTAATTACTAATTAGTATTAATTACGCATCGTAGTGAATCGCACGTGTTTATTAGATTACGTTCAATTAGTCCGCCACGGCGAATTTTAAATAATAAGTTTTATTTGCAGTTGTTAGTAGTTTTTCTACAGCGCAAAAAACAATTTTGTTTTTCGTTTTTAAATTAAGATATAATTAATTTATTGTTTAGAACTTGTTTAAATGATTTTCCGTAATGCAATATTATTATTATAATAAGACATATAAAAACTCGGGTGATACACCCATAAATTAAAAGTTTATAACGTAAGGTAAATAAAAATTACCTAATATTATTTATCCGTGATATATTATTTATTTATATTTCGTACTTACGTACACAATATAAATGGATATATTTTATTTAAGCAGTCGTTTAGTGTATTCTTAACAATGTCGAGCCATGCTGTGGAGAAGGAAATAATTATAGACTATATAATGAATAATGATAAAATAATACATAAATTTAAAACATGACGTATATATATATATTATATTGCAGTCCTTGTATTCCTAAGGACACCTGATTATAGCTTAGTTATAATCATGCCTAATACAAAGAATAAAATATACAATATGGACGTTTTGATATAATACGGAGAGAAAGGGCTAATTTTTACGTCCTTAAGATTTTTTTTCTTTTGGAAATATTTTAACGCCTATAACTATTGCATTCAGCATACAGAACCACAAACAATTAACTAATCGATATATAATGGCTAATGAGATAAAAATAATTTTAAAACGATGTATTGACTATTGACGTTTAAACCCGTGTACTGTTACTGTACCTATTCCACCCTTTTCATTTCTTGTTTATACCTCTTACAGTCTTACGAAGTCACTTACTGAACCTCAAGGCTTAAAGATAAATTAATATTAAGTTCAAAATAAAATTATGGTAAATTAAATCAATTAATTCTGGTTTATTGTTATATTTTCGTGATAATATGTACTCTCATACTCATTTAAAAAAAATTTAGATTTAACTTCCCGGTTTTAAAATGTACAGTAATCCAAATATTGATTTTGCGCGATTTATCTTGAATTTATCTAATTTTATTTTAAAATATATTTACCAATTTATTTTCCCTGTAAAAAATATTCGTGATAAATTATTATCACCGTAGTCCGTAGATAACTGGTAAGGTATACGTTGTATATAAATCAAACAATATTCAAAACAAATTGATCGTTAATAAAACTACCTATTTTCAAAATTATACACTCAACTACTTTTATAGTTATAGTAACATATATTTAATTATATTAATCGATATTTTATTTATTTGTTTTAAATCTATAGTGAACGTATTTTCTACCATGAGCGTCTAAGTCTACTCTGCAGTAGTGTACCACAGGGCACAGGCACAGTACCGTCAGTACCTATGTAGATTCAATGTAAACAATACATAATACATTCAACATTTTAATCTAACTTCTCAGTGGTCAATTTTAATACTATAAACTTTTTATATTAATGAATAATATGTACTAAACTTTAAAATTAATGAAAAATAACCATTTGTTATTTTGACGAGAGTACAAGCTTTTATGTTTAAGTATTACATTTTCTAGACATGATTAATTTTCAAAATGTTTTGATTCATTTTATATACCTATTATACCTATTATATTAGTAAATAGTAATGCAAAACGATATTTTATTTTAGTATCAATATTCTATATCGTTAATATATGTAACATATGTAATATGTAAACGATTTACCAAATAACAATTTCATAATAGGTATTGAAACAAAACTTATTAGGTATTGACATTTTTTTTTTTTTTTATCCATAATAAACATTTTTATAAATTTATTTAAATATAAATTATACTTGCACGATAAAAATAAACGGCAAAACCTTTCTGTTCTTCTATATTTACAAACATTGAGACTTATCAAATATTTCGTCAAAATTTAAACTCCAATTGCTCATAATGTGATAAAACGCTATTATTTTTTAATTTTAGTTAAAAAATTATGAGTAATTTTGTGTTTAATTTTCATAAGTTAAATGTTAATGAGGATTTTGTCACTGAACAGCTTTCCTTCTTTTACTAAGTAAATATTTTCCACATCAGATTTGTTCATCATACATAAGTTTCTTATCATATTTTTTTTTTTTTTCAAAAGGTTAAATAATGTATAAGCTTTTGAATATAAAATTATTTACGTATTATCATGATTTTGACAAATTTTGTTAAATAACACTTAAATAAAACAAATTGTGACTAATTTCAATATTTTTTAATAATAAGTTATGAAAACCTTTTATAAGATTATTAAGTTTTTAATAAAAAAAATAATATGTTATCGTACATAAATCGATAATTATTTTCAACAATTTTAAATTTCATTAAATAACATAAAAAATATATTCAATGTATTTTGAAAGTTATATTATGTCAAGAAAATGTTAATATGAATGTTTGTTTTGTATAAAAATGCATTTAATAAGTTCAACGCATACCTAGGGCATTATATTAAATTAATTTTGCTATTTTCGTCATTACAGATAGCTTCTTGTTATTATTAAATTGAGAGGTTTATGTCACAGGACAAAGACCTCATAAGGTCTATACTATGGTTTATACAAACAAACTGTGAACTTATTTGAATCAGGAAAATATGAAAGAAATGGTTAAAAGAACGTTATTACTTGTAATTTTATTACGGTTTGATTAGAGATCGTTTATGTTAGTAAGGTACCTATAATATTTATTAAATATTATAAATTTAATTATTTTATTTTAAAATAACTTATAATCTAAACTGCACTTATTTTTAGAAGCAAAATTATTATTATTTATAATGTTTTCATTCCAATAACGGCATTACTATTCCCAATGGTTTCCAAAATAGGTATTATGTAATCAATTATAATGCGTAATTACTAATTACATAATTTAAACTATTCGTGTAAGTAAAAACACTGTTGATGAGGCCCGTTTGGGGGGGAGGCCACTAGGCCCCTGGTTCTTCCATTGCCACCCTATCACTGCCTCATCCCATCTCAAAATTGAAATAGACAATTATTAGATTTATGAAGAAAAGTCATGTCAAAATTCCATACTTACCAATTGTAGTCATCAAAACCTCAAAGAGTAGTCATTAAAAATATCTACACGTTCACTCTAGTCGAAGACATCACATCGACTGCAATCTAGAAAATTGATCATTCGGTTAAAAATATAACCAATATTAAACAATATATAAAATTATCACTTCCATGTTCTTTGTCGACCTTAATCCAAAAGGTAGTGATTTTATAATAATCCTTATTATTTCGACACCTACTGGCTACTTCATACTAAATTTAAAATAGAAGAGTCCCTCCAAAAACGGGCAATTAATATCTAAATGCTTTATGGCTTATACTGCTTATAGTATAAGCCTTATACCATTGAAGTTTTGGACATAATTTCAAAAAGTATCATTGTTTTTGTTAATATTTATTTTATATAGGTACATGATTTGAATTAACTAATGAATAATATATTTTTTAAATAAACAATCAAAATGTATTCAATTTTTATTTTTAAATTTTTAAATTACAATACATATTATACACATTTTTGTTTCATATTTTGAAGCAAAATAATTTCTTTAGAATTTAGATATTTAATATTTTTGATATCTCTAGAAATAAAATTTTGACTAACATAATAACTATGATTTAGAACATTTTTTCGATTATAAAGTATAAGAACATAATTTTATTAGAACAAGGGCATGTGCATAACAGAAGTTAGTGTTAGTGTAATTTGTTCCTCTATTATTTGTGGACCGGTCCTAAATCGTGATCACAATATAGAAGATTATCTTAAAATGTTAGGAGCTATCTTCAGTATCTTTTTTAGTCTATAGTTTATACTGAAGTCTGAAATACTGTGACGGCGTATCGGCCGTCGTGGAATGGTGGTCGCTGATTGGTGGGATAAAAATATTCTTGTCACTATATTATACAAGTTCACGGACGTATATTTATACCCACGAACTAAGATATAGTTCGTGTTTATACTACATAATTATTATGTACCTATAGTATTTTATTCCATTAAATGTGATAACGTGTTATCTAATCAAACATAACAAATAATGTGATAAACAACAAATTATAATATTTTGTATTTACCGCGAAGCTCAGATATTAGATAATAAGAATTTATTAAAAATTCTATTAAATTATCAAATTTATTATAATAAATATAATATCTATTAAACAATAAACCATAAAAACATTTTTACGCTTATTATCAATATAATATTCAGTGGTGTTAGAATAATATCTTCCAGTACTTAGTATTCGCTAATCACTATGACAAATCACAATATCATAATTGTTCACCGCCATTTAGTATTTACTATTTACAAAATGCTAATAGTCAATTGATTTCAATAACCTGCGATCTATATTCATATCGCATTGACGCATCTATCTAGTATCTATTACTTCGCCTTTGGGCGTTATGGACAAAACGTGTGCGACCTCTAATGTAAATAATCATAATTGTGTCATTATTACGCTCAGAAATTGTTCGTGAGTACATCTACATTTCTGAAAGCTTATTAAGTATCGTATCAAATATTATGTAAATAATAATTATTATTATTATTATATTTATTTTATTAAGAATTTTTAACATTTTTAAATAAATTATTTTGTTTCTTTTAATAATCATAAACAATTGTAGTTTATTAAGTATAATTAAAAAAAGTAAAAGAAAAGTTGAAGCTCTAAAGTATTATTCATTATTTATTTTAAATATGTGCATATGGTGATTTTCCAAGCATTTTCGACATAATTTTTAACTTGAATAATAAATTTATTTAAATTATGATTTTTGAAATTGTTTATTTTACTTGGGGACCAGATTTTCAAATATTTAGATTATTTCATCATTTTAAGTGGTTATATTGTGATACCAACTTGTTTGTGTAAACTGTCAACTAGAATCTAGATGACTTAAAAATGTTAATGTACCTGTCTAAATCAAAATTGTAATGAGTAGTTTTTAACTCTGTCATAAATACTCTTTATATTCCATATAATTATTCATTTTAATAACTCCTAGTTAAGATTAAGTTAACCTATTATTATTAAATGAATTTGTATATTGAGATTTGAGAATTATAAAAGTTATAATGATTTGAAAATTATAACAATTTATATAAATTTTTATAATTTTTTAATTTGTTAAATAAATATGGGTATTATAAATATTAAATTCAATATTACATCTATATTTTATTATTATAAAATAGTTTTTAAGAATTGTTATTTATTTTTATTAACTCAGTAATAATTACTCATACAAAACTTGATTTATATATGTCAATATTTTCATAAAAATCATCTACATAACATTTTACAATAAAATAGATTCATTTTTAATTTAATAAAAAAATGGTATTGCCTCAGAATACTGTTTAAGCGATAAGAATTAAATATAAATAAGTATGTATAATATAAATTAATATGATGAGTGGACTTGGTTTATCATCATATATTTATATATAAAATTAATGATGTATAAGAAAATATATATTTTTTCACTAATTTAGTTATATGGAAATACAGGTATAAATATAAATAAAGCCAAAAAAGGTCATTTATATAAGATATTTAAAAATACTTAACAATTTATTATCTAATTAGTAAAAGTATTGATATATAGTAAATTATCTGTATACCCTCAAAAGATTAACATAAACGTCATATTTATATTTATGTCCTTGAAGTTAGAAAATATCTTATCTGTATTCTATTATAGTTTTATTATATATATATACGTATATTGTGTTCAATATAATGACATGGCATTATTTAAACACAATTTTTGTTTTTTTATGGTGGTTTAAATTTTTTTATAATTAACTTTAATTAATTTTTAGCAATTTTTAATTTGTAATTAAATTATTTTTAAAATACAGGTTGAGTTATTAGTGTATACTATACACTGTATAGGTACTTATATTAATTTTAATGGTAATAAGGAAATAAAGATATCAAAGAGTCACGGAAATTTTTTTTTTAAATAATCTAATGAAAAATATACTCCTATATTTATGTTTAAAATATCTTGTTTGAACTGTTGTTAATATATTTATATACTTACTTTAAATGTGTTTAAATTAATGTTGATAATAAATTATGGTACCTAGTTATAAATAATAAATATAATAGCATTTCAAATATTTTATTTACGTGTTTTTAATTTTACTCTTTATACCTATATTTTCTGGTTCTGAATTTAATATTTACAAATTTTATAACAAGTTGGTAGAACCTAGAATAAAATCATTATAAAAATATTTGGTCTTGTCTTTTGTATACTTCTTAATTGTTTTTTATAAAATTATTTAAATTTTATTTTTTCAGAACATTGCTGGTAAAAAATACACCCAGTTGTAATTATTATTCACAAAATGGATAATACTAAAAGCAAATGTGTTTTGTTAACTGGTGGTGCAGGGTATGTTGGTAGCCATACTATTATACCTTTAATTGAATCCGGGTATGAGGTGGTGGTCTTAGATAATTTGTCAAATGCATGTAAAGGTATGTTATACTACATTTAATTAATATGTGTCAAATCATTAAACAAGATACTGTATTCATTCCTCTTTAAACATTTATTTGGTAACTGTGTCATAAGCGATCTATATGTATACTATGCTGATGTTGTATGTGATCTACTGAAAACTATACACTAATAGCTTATTCAAATTTTTAAAATAAACTATTAATTATTATTTTATGAAAAAGCATGATACATAAAATATTCATAAAAATGTATTTTAAAAAAGGTTATACACAAAAAAATGATTATTCTACTCACAAAAGATTGCTTTTATGTTGTTTAAAAACTTATCGAACATTAAATTCTTTTATGGATATATAGAACCTTACCATTCCACTTTCAAGCTTAGGAGAAGCACCATTGATATTTAGTATTTAATCATATTAATCACTTTATGGGTAAAACAAAAATGTTGGTAGATCTTTTACAACATCAGTATGCTTTACAGGTAAATAACAAAAATTATGGTTGATTACTTACAAGACTGTTACCATTTATTTATATTTATTCTATTCAGTTAATAATATAGGTTCATTTATATAAATATTTTATATAATTATCCGATATTAATCATAACTATATTTTTTATTAATAATATTTTTTTTTATAGTTTGTTATTAGTTTATTATGTTGTTTAAATCATAGTAAAGCATTAATTGTGAAAAATAAATGATTATTTAATAGGTAATTCAAATATTAAATTATTATTATTATGTATATGACAAATCAGTTAATTTATGTCATAATTTTTAAATTTTAAATATCAATTAAATGCAATAAAAGTAGATTTTATAGTTAAAAAATTAATTTCTTATAAACTACTTAAAACTTTACAATTACCTTTTATAATTATATATTTACATCAATTAGATTAGTGTCTGAATAGATTAAATGAAAATTATTTTTCATGCTTTTACATTTAATCTAATTTCTAATCTGTATTATTATTTATTATGCTCGCTTTTAACTTGTTTATTATATTTAAATCAGTGTTTGGAAAGAATTAATATTGATGTTAATATTAAATTAATAATATTAAATATAATTTATTTATTTTTTTTTGAATAGAATATCTTCATATCTGAAGAGAACTTGAGTTATTTTAGGTTTTTCAAGTTGTTTAAATTTATCAATTATATATTTAAATTGAAAATGTTTCAAATAATTATTTCAGTGTGAGTTTTTTGTATTTTGTATTTATACTTTCATAAAATTATTTATTCTATTTCTGCAGCTAGCAATTCATTTTTTAATAAATAATCTAATGAGCATATGTTCATTAGCTTAATAAATGTTAACACAACAAAGTTTAGTTTTTAAGTTAACTTTCCTGGCACTGATTTACATAACCCTAAATACAACTAACAATTTGTTGTATTTTATTTTATTTTAAATATTTACTAAACAAATGTATTTTAAAATACTTTTAATATAGGAAGTGAAGGACAAAATCCAGTACCCATATCTCAAGTTGAAAAATTAGTTGGTAAGCCTGTCACATTCTATAACGTTGATCTCTTGGACTACGATTCTCTCTCCAAAGTATTTGATAAGGTTAGTTATATGATTTATTTTATTAATTTATAAATCTTGCAATATATTTGTAAAAATGTTTAGATTGAACATATGTCATATAATGATAATTTATAGTTATAAAATAACAATTAACATTATTTTCATTAAAACTTATGTAGAAAGAGCAAAATTAATATAAAATTAATGTAGTAAAGAAATATAATACAGTTAAAAACTTAAAATAAACATCTGTGGATGAATAAAGATGTATAATATATAAACACAAAAATACAGGTTCTTCAGGGGTAAAATTTCTGAGCATGTAATGCTATATGATTTGATGTAATGGGTTAGAAAAAGGATTCTGATTATGAGGGGGCACTAAAAATGACTTCCAAAAAGATCTGGAGTATTCTATATTTCTTATAAGAGAATTAAGTATTTTCAAACTGGTGGTCAATTTCAATATGTTGTTAGAAAGATTTTATATTTAAAGGAATTTGTAGATAATTAGATATTTATGATTAGGAGTCTGGATATTAAAAATATAAAGACTGTAATATGAATTATTTTATCATATAATTAACAATAACAATAATAATTAGATAATATTTTATACATAATATGATAAATTATATTAATCAATATTTTTTAGCATAATTTCTGTTGTGTTATTCATTTTGCTGGATTAAAAGCTGTCGGTGAATCATGTATCATTCCTTTGACTTATTATCGAGTCAATGTCTCAGGATCAATCAATTTATTTCAAGTATGTGAAATATATTTAGTATAAATAATTACTTTATTAATAAGTAATTACTAAATAAATATGGTAAATATTTTATGTTTAATACGTGTACTAATAAATTTAATTGATAGGTTATGAAAGAACACAATATAAAGAAGCTTGTATTTTCCTCCTCATCTACAGTATATGGTGAACCACAATTTTTACCAATAACTGAATCGCATCCAGTTGGCCAAAATTTACTCAATGGATATGCTAAATCAAAATATTATATTGAAGGCATAATACAAGACTTATGCAATTCTGATAAAGTATATTTTAGAGTTGTTTTAATAATATATTTATTACTTACCTCCACCTATGTATGTTAATTATTAGGAATGGTTTGTGATTATTTTACGATATTTCAATCCAGTTGGAGCTCATCCTTCTGGAATTTTGGGAGAAGATCCTACCGGAATTCCTAACAATTTAATGCCATATGTTGCTCAGGTTGCTGTTGGAAATCGACCATGCATTAATGTTTTTGGGAATGATTATAATACTGTTGATGGAACAGGAGTAAGAGACTACCTTCACATCATGGATCTGGCCGAAGGTCATGTTAGTGCATTACAGAAGTTACAAAATTCAGATGAAAATGGAGCTATAGCTATAAATTTAGGCACAGGAAATGGATATTCAGTATTACAAGTAACTATGTTTTTTTGAAGTATGCAATTAGATATATAATTTAAAAAAATAATAATAACTTTAAATTTGTAACATAAAAAAAGTAATTGATTAACTGTAAAATTATATTTTTACACAGAAGCTGTCTTAGAATAGTATTTTATATCATATTTAAATGTATAATCAACAAATTGTATCTATTAAAAAAAAAAACTGTAATTATCTGAAACAAATTTAAAAATTTTCATACTTATAATATTAATATATTTAATATTTATGTATCAAATAATAACTTGAATAGATTTCTATAAATACTTAATTTAAAAGAATTATTATCAAATTATGTATAGCTATTACCTGTATTTAATATATTTAAATATACAATGTTATTTAAGGATGAATTTTAGAACCTTCAAACATCTAAAATTTAGAGGATAATAAATTGGAGGAAAAAATTTAAGTTTAAATACCTTAATCAAAATCAAGTTTTATAAATCAATAAATTTTTTTATAAATCTGTTATAATTTTAACTTAAGCTTAATGTATGTGATAAGTAATAACAAACAGCATGGATTGAAGATACTTCGTTGGGATAGTAGTTATACCATGTTTAAACATTACAGTAAATTCATAAAAAATAAATTTTTGGATAAATTTAAACTTTGTTATACTACTATTTTGTTTTAAAACCTGTAATGGTTAAATTTTTAAAATTTATAAAAAGTTTAAGTACAAATATGTTTAATTTTGAACAGTTTGAGAAAATTGTTAATTTCTAGTTTAAGTTAACACTAAATTATTATTTATTAAAATATACAAATTATAATTACATTTTATTTTATAAAATTTAATTAACCTTATATAATATTAAATAATCATGTTTATTTATTATTTTTTTCAGGTAATTGATATGTTTAGTCAGGTTAGTGGACAAAAAGTAAAATACACTATTGTTGAACGTCGATCTGGTGATTGTGCTTCTTCTTATTGTGATGCATCGCTTGCAAAATCATATCTTGGATGGGAAGCTAAGAAAACTTTAAAGGAAATGTGTGAAGATACATGGAGATGGCAATCATCATATCCTCAAGGTTTTTCTACTAAGAAATAACTGTACTAAAGTTACTTTGAAATTATAAACAAATTATTATTGTTGTTGTTTTATTATAATTATTATTATTTATAAAACGTTTTTGGGCATTTTTAAACTGTTTTATGTTTATTTAATTTTTATATTATATATTATACAATAATAAATTAAACATGTAGTTTTGATATGATATATCGTAATATATACCTTCTTAGTTCTTATCCTTGGTAAACAATATTTTTTTTCCAACTAATCTTATTATTTTAAACTTTGAATAAAGTCTGACTACATTGAAAGATCTATTCATAAATCTTCAGTTTGCGCTATTCAAGGCATTTATTGTATAATTTTTAGATTTTTTAGTTTTCCATATGGTTTTAGGACAGATAAATTATTATTGGTGATAATATTTTGTCTAGGTTCTTGACAATAATATACTCAGATTGGATGTGTGTGAATTAAATTCTAAAATATGAATTATGATGTTAAATATTATAAACTCAAAATATAATTTTTGCTAACTCTACAAATTAAAATATTTATTTAGTACATATTTGTCTGCTGTTATGAATGTATTAAGTGCCCATGTAACCTATAACTGTTATTATTCCGGTTAAAAAAAAATAGTATGTTAAAACTGGGGGTTTTCTGAGGATGGGTAATAATTTTTTCCAACAATAATTTAACAAAAAAATTTGGTCCTGTTTTAAGTAAAAAAAATATAGCATCCTTATGCCAAATTTATTTTTTAAAGTTTGTCTAGTTCTTGAATGTCGGTTAAATACACAGACATACAGTTTTTAGTTATAGGCTGTCCCATTTGAGTCAAAATAACAAGGTATGTTATTTCCAATAGTTCATTAACGCCAAATTTACTTCCATAAAAATTTTACATTAACGAATTGGTTAATTTGTATAATATTTAAAAGACGTCGTATACTCGTATCTGTAACGTATAAAAAGTTATTTTTATAAGTCTATAGATTTTAAATATAACTGCTGCATCTAAGCGTGTAGTTGTCAAAGACATAAGTATTCGTCCTAGGAAAATTATTTTAACTGAAATGAATAACTACATAACTAATTTAGATTTTACTGTATCTGATGTATCTGCAATACGAAAAAGTATTTTATATTCATAAAGCATTAATCGATATACACAGGGGCGGATTTAAGGCACTGCGAACTATGCATCCGCATAGTGCGGCAAATTTATGGAGGGTAGCTTTTTATACGCAGTAAAATTGTATTTAATATTTATTTTATTCTTGTACCTATCTATAGAAAAATACTTAATTTTTTTAATTTCAAAATAAATAATTAACGTTAAAACTACTTATATAACCAAATAATTATTTAATACATTTGTTGTCTTTTTTTGTTTAATACCAATAAAGATAAAATACTATATTTGAATCAAAACATTTTTATTGAACTTTAATTAAATAAAAAAAGTAATTGCATAATACATAGAAAATATTATCATGTAAGGAAATTTTGTTGTACAGAGGTGATTTTTTTTTTTTAAATAATGGCGGTAAATTTTTTTTTTTTGACATAGGGGTGGCAAATTGTTAAATCCTCCCTTGGATATATATTTCACTATTTTTAAAAAGGAAGATTAAAATGTGTATTATTGATTATTATTTAAATAAATTCGTACAATTGACTATGATTATTAATAGCTTATAATTTAAAAAAAATATGTACTTACTAACTATTTATTACCTATTTTTTAAAATAATTTGTATTATTATTCATTGGTTATTATTTTTAAAAAAATCGTACAAATGATAATAATTTAAATAAAATTGTTTTGATTATTGTTTAAGAAAAAAATATATTACTTTATTATAATTATACCAGGTAAATTTGGCGCAAATGGGCTGTACCCAAAACAAATTATTTTTTTTTGGCGCAAATGGGCGATGCCCGGTAGCTCAATTCCCAAGTGCTAAAATATTATTTAGTTGAACACCTACTTTTCCGTTTAGATAAAAAAACCTAAATCGGACATATTATCTAAAAACTATAGGTATTTAAATTGTTTAATATTGGAATATCGCCATACATCAATAGAAAATTATTTTACATTCAAATCTAATCAAAATTTGATCTTTTATTTCCTTAATATCGAAATAAACCAAACATAATATTACCATTATAACTATTAATTATATCAATATATATTTATATAATGAATTTATGATGTGTTGATTAGTATAAAACTATAATAATCTATAGTCCATACGACCATACAATTTGTATTTGTAGATTACCTACCAAGTTGTTAATAATACGAATTGTAATGAATAAGAGATTTTAAGTAAAATTATTTCATATAATATTGTTTATACTTTATTATGTGTGCATTGTATACAAAAAATATACACTCATAAACACTTAAAAATCTACAAGTTACAACCAACATGGCATTGTCGCTAATTTTAAGACGACACCACCCACACACTAGTCGATTGTTATTTATGTTGGTTTTGTTTTACGAACTCTCTTGTAGCAGTAGGTAGGTACAGCACTTGCACGACTATATAAACTTCAATAAATGCATAATATAACGATAGGTAATGATATCGATATTTTAATTTATGATCAAGTCCTATCGTTATTCATTATATGCATTTTTAATTTACATACTCCTAACAACAGAGATTAAACGTCCGCGATTTGTTAAAAAGAAACAATAATGAATAGTGTTCTGCCGTTTTCTAACATTGTAACTTTAATATAATCAAATACATATTATTAATACACAAATTATTTTAAAAGAATTAAGTAAATCATTATAGTGTTTACGTATGCACCTTTATTAAATTTATATATTTACTAAATAATACACCTAGGTAATAAAATTAATGACTGTAAAATTGTTATTCCCTAATCAGAAATTAGATAAGATTAACTAAAAAGGTTTTACCTCGTATTAAAAGTATAAATACATACTATTATAGTCATAAAGAAATAATTTGCTGTCTAGTAAAAGTAATAAGTTCAAAAAGTCAAATTTTAAATTGTTCAATACAATAATTAATCTAATATAAACTATCAACTAATTACATGTCTTCATTGTATTTAGGTATTAAAACGATTATCATATATGACCTAAACATCTAATAATATACATATTATTTAAAAATGTATGCTGATTAGTTTGAATCACTCAAGACGTCATTATATAATCAGGAAATCCTTTCAGAAAAAGATAGGTAGGGATTCTATACTAATATAAAATTGTCTAATTTGTAAATTATAATTTTAATTATTAGTTTATAGTTACGTATCTATAGTTAGAATAAATTTAATTCTATCTTGAATTTGGACTTAGTGTTATTAAAATTTACTAAACAATACACATTTCATAAAATTTATACTCAAGTCATTTTAAAATGCTTAATACTGGGTATGTAAACTGTTATATATTATTGCTATCAATATAAGTTAATATAAAAACGTATGCTATTTAATGTATTGCTTTTGTTAATTTTTGATTAAATTAACTAAAAATTATTTTCATTGTTATTAACATTTTATGTAGATTAAGTGCTTTTAATTCAAATCATTCTACTTTTAGAATTAAAAAAGAATCGAAAATATGTAAATATGTAAGAAGAAAAGTTTTAATTAAAATTAATAGATGTTTTTTTTTTATATATAATTGTTTGATTATAAAACAGACTTTACTGGGTACTAACTATACCTATTTTTTATATATTCTTATCTACTAGTGAACGTACCTTTTCGTATATGAAACGATTCAAAAATTATTTGAGGAATTCTTTGCTATACAATAATTATCTAATTTGAATGTTATTTAAATAGAAAAAATAATGTTAAATTACTTGATATAGATTTTTAAATATTACAGCATTATTTCGCATGTAAATTCTCTAACATTTTTGATGATCAGTCATCCCATCACTGTGATCCCCTCACTAAAATTAAAAAAATTAAGTTGCGTGTTATTCCGCAATAATTTTTGATGAGCGTAATAATTTTGCATTAAAATTGCTAAAATTTGTAAATTATTTAAGTTAAAAATCATAAAGTTTTTTATTTTGATACTTTAGAATTTAAAAATTTAATACAAGGTTCCATGTAAGTTTTACTTATAAGAATTACAAAAAAAAAGTTTGCTGTAGTTGTAGTATTAAATGTTTAAAGCTAAAGCTTGAAAATATATTAAAAGATTCTTTATAAGAAAGTGAGTTTTAAAATATCTATAAATTAAGCACATTTTATTTTTTTAAATAAATAAAAAATAATGAATTATTTTTTTTGTTGCATAAATTTATTATTCGTGGGAACTTGAATCTTATACATTATCATATTTTACATTACATAATAAAATATTTAGATTAATTTTAAGCTATTGCTTATATATTTGTATCATGAATATTTGACTGCAAAATTTAAAAAATAATAAATTTATACTAATAATAATATTGATGGGAATTTTTTGTAAAAATTAATTAAACCTATTGTATATATAATAGTAGTAAAATAAATTACTATCTTTATACCTATATCTACTAGTCGTGATCTATTAATTTATAATAAAATGCAGTCCCCGCCCAAAATCATTTTTTGTGCATGCAATATTGCAATATTAATTATTATTTATTTAAACAAATTATTTAATTCAAATTTAACACATTCAGCAGTGTCTTATTCAAAGACGAGGTTCAGTATACTCTTCTACTGTATAGCATACTAACATAGCAGACATTGGATACTTTTTTATTTTGAACTAATTTAAATTAACAACTTAAATTTTGAGTATTAGGTACTACAAGGTTTAATCGTTGTTATAACTGTAATAAGCTATTTATTATATTTTCAGAGGTTCTACAAGACGTAGACGTAACATTGTATATTTGTATACAAAAAATTATTCTAAAACGAGACTATATTATTATGTCGGCCTATATTATTATACATAAGTGTATTAAATTTCATATTTTTTTGTAAATATAATAATGGTAAAGTTATTAATTTTACTTTTAGTATTCTATATCCCGGTAGGTTGATATTTTTTTCCGAAAATATTACATTTATTATATTATTATTATTTAATTATTAAAATAATA